GAAGAAATGTAGGAACTATGAGAAGATTATGTCTAAGCTGACAGACACCAACTTTTAAAATAAAAGCTGTAAATCAGTGTCTAAACCCCCCTATCATACTCACTACAGAATGTGTCCCTTAGCTTGGGACTGACGGCTTGGAGATAAGATTAGAGCCTGCCTGGGGCATGTTCAGTGTGTAAGAAACACATTCTATGTTCACAGCTCTCGTAGTAAGAACTGAAGAAAGCTGACTCTGGTTCATAGGATGAGAAAATGAGTCATCTTTTCATTAGTCCTACCTTACCCATCTTGTCTAACAGCCTTTACAAAAATCTGTTCAAGTGTGGGTGCATGTGTGCCATTGTGCATGTGTGGAGGTCAGAGGACAAACTCGGGTGTCAGTCCTTGCCCTCCACCTTGAGACAGGGTTTCTCCTATGGTTTGCTGTTGGGTATGCCAGGCTGGTGGGCCTCTGAGCTTCTGGGGATCCTCTTGTCTCTGCCTCCCAACCTTTAGGGCACTGGATTCCAGACACACTACTGTATCTGGCTTTATATGGGTGTTGGGGATTTGAACTCAGGTCCTCATGCTTGTGTAGCAAGCACTTTATCCACTGAGCCATCTCTCTGGTCCTCCAATAACACTTATGATGCATTTCAGTTCCATAGCCAGAGCCATAGTGTGCCCTGGCATGGGGGACTGGCACAGGTGACAGGGGAAAATGGCTGCTGCTCCAATTTCTTTTTTTCTCTCCTTCCTTTCCTTTCTCCTCCCCCCCCCCCCTTTTTTTTTTTTTTTTTTTTTCTTTTTTAGATAAGAGTCTCCCTGTAGCTCAAGCTGGCCTGGAACTCACTATATAGATCAGGCTGGACTCAATCTCACAGAGATCTGCCTGCTTCTGTGCCCTGAGGGCTGGGATTAAAGGCGTGCATCACCATGCCTAGTGGTGTCCCAATTCCTTGGCATAGCCCTGTGTTAGCCTGCCAGGTCTCATGCTCTTCATCTCATACCAAGCCCTGGGTTTTGTTGAGGAATATGAAACCAATCATCTGGGAGGCTAGGGAGATGGCCCAGCAATTAAGAGCATGTACTGCTCTTGCAGAAGGCCTGAATTTGGTTCCCAGCACCCATGCTGGGTGGCTCACAATCATCAATAACTCCAGCTTCAGAGGTCTCCATGGGTACTGTATTCATGTGCACATACCCTCACATAACACATACATAAAATAAATTTAAAAAATATTTATTACTTTTATTTTATGTGTATGAGTGCATTGCCTGCATGTGTGTAAATGTACCTGTGTTGCACAATGCCCACAGAGGTCAGAAGAAGGTATCAGATATCCAGATACCCTGGAACTGGAGTTACGGATGGTTGTTAGCTGCCATGGGGGTGCTGGGAATTGAACCCAGGTCCTCTGCAAGAGCAGTCAGTGCTCTTACCCACTGAGCCATCTCTTTAGTCCCAAATAAATCTTTAATAATAACCATCTTCTGAGAGGATACACAGTTCCCAGAGAGGCCCCTGGGATGAGTATACATGGGAGATGCCAATCAGATAGGAAAACAGACTTTGTCTTTGTGACAGAGAAACTGGGCTTAGAAGTACCTTGAATCCTTCTCATAAGTACTGAATGTAATGATAGGAAAGCCTAATGAGACTAGAGAAAAATGATGTGTAACACTAGTATGCCAACAAGTCAGCCACCGTACAAACTGCATATGCAGTTAAAATAAAACAAATTTTTAAAAAGTTAAGGAAGAACCAGAGACTAGGAAAGGAGATATGTTGGTTAAAGAGAGAGCGAGCTAGTGGCTCAGATAAAGTCTTTGATTTGCAAGAATGCGAACCTGAGTTCAAAAAGCCTTGCTTTGCATGCCTGATGACCCGAGTTTGATCCTTGGGATCCATGGTAGAAAGAGAGAAATGACTTCTGAAAGCTATCCTCAGAATTCCGTGTGTATTTCTGTGATATGCATACACATACTTTGCATGCACGCACATGGAGACACACACACACACACACACACACACACACACACACACTTTTTAAAAAAAATAGCCAAGTTGGGGAGGTAGAGACAGGCCAATTCCTGGTGATTGCTGGCCAGCCAGCCTAGCCTATTTAGTGAGCTCCGAGCCACTGGTAAGACGGGGCTGGAGAGATGGCTCAGCTGTTAAGAGCACTGGCTGCTCCTCCAGAGGACCTAGATTTGGTTCCTAGTACCCACAGGGCAGCTAACAACAGTCTGTAACTCTAGTTCCAGGGGTTCCAACACCCTCTTCTGAGCTCTGCAGGCATTGCATGGCATGGATGCACTTATATACATGCAGGGAAAACACTCAAATACATAAAATAAAAAATAATTAAAATAAAATAGTAAGATGGTGCCTGAGGAGAAACACTTGAGACTGACCTCTTGCCTCTACATACACATATGCGCCTGCACACATGAACACATGGATGAGAGTGAGCGAGACAGAGACAGAGACAACTGAAGACTTTTCAAGAAAAAAAAAAACAAAAAAAAAACCAACCCTGCCAAACCTAAATATACAGGTACCCAAGCAGTTTCTGGCAATGTGACAGGCTGAGCTTCATGAGGAAGTGGCAGGGTGTGGAGTCAAGGTGAGCCAAAGGCATGCAAAGCAGGGAGGGGCTATCAGAGCAGTACCTCAGAACACAGAGTCCCCTGGGTACCCTCAGGTCACTGTGGCAGGAATCCCACACTGACAGAATACTGCTGAGTGTATCTGAGGCCCAAGATTTTTTCTGCCCTTTCCTTTGGGTAAGAGTCTCATACTTTCTAAGCCTCCAGTTTTGCAAGAAAACAAGGTATCACAAGAAAATAGTAAAAGTTCACTTGTGCCAGAGTTTTCAAAATGGGGGGCCCAGTTTAAAGGCAGCCTCTAGTAAGGAAGTGCTCTAACACTACTCCGGCCTAGTTCACCCTAATCTCATTCTAAGCTTGTCTTTTGCCATAAAACCAGTCACTGCCATCTATCAGGCACGTCCAAACTTTTGACATTGCCACATTTGACGGCCATCTACAAAGTACATCCTCCAGAACTGCACAATCGAGTTACAAAGAAAGACGGTCAGTGAGATGATTCTTCAAGGTAAAGGCACTTGCCTCTAAGCCTGACACCTGAGTTTGATCCCTGGGCCCCGACATGGTGGACGGAGAGATTTGATTCCTGAAAACTGTCCTCTGACCTCTATACTTACACTGTGATACACACACACACAGCTATCAAATGAATGTAATAAAATTTAAAAAAAGAAATCACAGGCTGGTGAGATGACTCAGCCAGTAAAGGTATCAAGGTTGCTGGTAAGTGGAAAGCCTTTTGTTCAAGCACGAGTGACTATCACCATCATGTCACCAGGCCAGGTTTTAGAAACTCAAGATATTTGTTGGTAACACACCTAGTGCCTATGTATATATGTGCTGTGTGGGACCAGCAATGAGAGAGAGAGGCCCAGGAGCAAGAGGCTGACCCTGCTGATGGAAAAGGAGCCCCACATTGCAGAGCACCCCCTCTAAATGGAGATCTGAGGAGGCCTAAGCAGTCACTGCCCAAGTGGCCAGATATTGGCCAGGAGCAAAACTACCCTTAGGGTATCTTTTCTTTTTTCTTTCTTTTTTCCTCAGAGTTAAGAACTGCTCCACCCCTACCTCTGAGTATGCTCACAAGAGGCATATAGAGCCAAGAGGGTGCATTAGACAAGCAGTCATGGGGTCACACACACTCTGCCATCTTGAGTCTGTTCCAGTTTTAAATCTACTACTACTCTGGTTTCTACAGTGCCTGTTGATAGAGATTGCTACTAGATTCATTTTTTTGCGTGCATGTGTGCATGCATGAGAGAGAGAGAGAGAGAGAGAGAGAGAGAGAGAGAGAGAGATATTGTGTGTCAGTACATGATTGGAAGACAGAGGTCAATCTTAGGTGTTACTTCTCAGGAGTTGTCCATCTTGTTTCGTTTTTTGTTGTTGTTCTTTTTTTTAAATTTTGTGAAGATTTCTTTATTTTGTGTATAAGTGTTTGCCTGCATGTATGTGTATGTACCACATGTGTGCCTAATGCCACAGAGGCCAGAAGAGGGTGTTGGATTCCCTGGAACAGGAGTTATAGATGGTTGTGAGTCACCATGTGGGTTCTTGGGAACCAAAGCCAGGTCCTCCGCAAAAGCAGTCAGTGCTCTTAATTGCTGAGCCATCTGCTCTCCAGCCCCACTTTATTTTGTTTTGTTTTGTTTTGTTTTGTTTTTGGTCTTTTTGAGACAGGGTCTCCCTGTAGCTCCAGCTGTCCTGGAACTCACTATGCACACCAGGCTGGCCTTCAACTCACAGAGATCTGCCTGCCTGCCTCTGCCTCCCAAGTGCCTGCGCCACCACGCCTGGCACTTATTTGTTCATTTTTGAGATGGGGTCTTTAACTTTTACCTGGAGCATGGTGAGTAGGCTAGGCTGGCTGGCCAGCAATTCCAGGGATCTGCCCATCTTTTCCTCCTTGGCGCTAGGATTACTGTTTTATGTACATGGGCTCTGAGAATTGATCAGGTCCTCATTCTTACATGGCAGACACTTTATTGAATGAGCCATGTCCCCCATCCTGAACTCACTTTTTGAAGACAGGTTTCTGCATTCTGTAGGCTGCTAGCCTCTCCAAGGACTGGGAAGCCACAGGCACTCAACATGTCAACAGGCAAGTGGCCACTGGCTGCTGAGAGCCCACCACTAAGGGAACATGCACAAGGCAGAGAGACCTATCCTGCCTGCTCCCCAGGAGGCTCAACTGAGGCACTGGGGCCTGGGAGTCACAGAGGTGTTCTGTAAGCTTCTGGCTCATGATGATGAAGTAGTAAGTTTACCTGTATAATCCAGGTCAAGTTAGAAGAAAAAAGACTCAGAAGCTTGAATATTCATTCCTGGTCTTCTCCCCAAAACCCTCACTGCTCCCCATCCCTAAGAAGGCCCATCTGATACCTCTGGCCATAGGCCTCACTTACCTCCTTATGGGAGTCTTTGTGGGCTTCTAGAGTCTTCATGATCGTCAGCTCGGCATAGTTTTTGAATCTGGCTGGCTGGTTTCTCAGAATTTCCCGTAAAACTCTCAATGCCAGTGCTCGAATGGAATGCTGAGTATGAGAGGAAAAAGACCATCATCAAATAGTACACAACCCTTGTCCATATACACAGCAAGCATGGGACCACAGGTGAAGTACCGTTTTAGGAGTTGTGGCCTCTTGCAGGTCCCTCTATATGGATCACAGTTTTTCAATGTGGGTTCTCTAGATGGTTCCAAAAGGGCAGGCACTGAGGGATGCTGACACCCTCAGGGCTTAGCACCTGCAGGGCTGTCAAGGCTTCTAGAATGAGCCTTGCACTGGAGATGAAATGACAATGGCATGCCTAAATTCACAGTCAGTTCCCTGGGCTTTTCAGATTTGCTGAAACGTGGGAACAGGTGTCATTCTTCTTGTGAAAGGTGCCTGAGGGCAAGCCCAAAACATCAACCTTTTCATGGACAGGGCCTTCCAGGCTGTGAACTCACTGAGGTCAACTGGAGACCTGTGGCTATTCCTGACTTTCTGGGTGATGAGATCACCCATGCGACAGGCTTCAAGCTGTAAAGGCCCAAGTCATGTGCCTGGAGGAAAGCCATCCCAAACAGATGCCTAATCTCAAGAAAAGAGAGTAGAGTTTACTGCAAACTGAGCGAAGAAGCACATCCTGATCCCCTGTCACTCAGCTGTGCTCTATGCAAACTCACACACGATGCACCTGCCCTCTGCATGACATCATCGCATCTCCCCCAGAGTCCTGTCAAGTATAACTGTCTCCACAGGCAATACTATGAAGAAAAGTTAGCGCAGACCATTTTTTTGTTCTGTTTTGTTTTTTGAGGCAGGGTCTCCCTTAGTCCCAGCTGGCCTGGAACTTACTATGTAGACTAGGCTGGCCTTAATGTCACAGAGATTCACCTGCCTCTGCCTCTAGAGTACTGGGATTAAAGATATACACCCCCATACCTGGCTAGTGCAGACCTTTAATTATCTTTTTTGTATCTTTACTTACCCTTAAACTGAACCTTTAATCCTAAGCACTAGAAAACAATTGGAAGGCAGTATTCATTGCCCTCTCCCTCCCCAACTCTCCACCATAAATGACCACCGTGATCCTGGGTCTGGCCTGTGACCTCATCTGTGCTAGTTTCCTGGAGCTCCTCCCAGCCCTGTCCCCTAGCTCTTCACTACAGGTATTTTATTACTGTTTCTGCTAGCTCACACAAAATCAGCAAGGAAGGATGGACTATTATTTCTACAATTTAACCCCAGTGGTTCCCAGTGTTTATTCCTGACTGTGTGCAAGGGACCTGTACCATAGGTGGGAGAAGGCAGGACTTTGACTAGACCACTGTCCCTGATTAGGCCTGCTACCAATGCCTGATCAATCACATTCAATGACCCAGCAAGAAGGTTATTTTTACAATTATTAGTACACTTTGAGAATCAGTCATTTGGCCCACTAATAGTAGTGAACCAAGATGAAATTTCATAGAATGCAACATTTAATAGGGTCTTTAAAAACAATAAAGGTTGGACTGATGAGATGGCTCAGCCAGTCAGGATGCTTGAGACAAAGCTAAATCACGGTGGAATGAGAGAACCGACTCCTGCAAATTGTCCTCTGACCTCCACACACTTGAATGTGCCCACAAGCACACTCACACACAAATAAATGTTACAAAACATTAAAAAAAAATAAACTTCTCGATTTCTTTATTTCACATGAAATAAAAATGAAACACGTGAAGTTGTGGCCTGAAAGGCTACCTTCTCTGCTAATGGAGTTCTGGGGAATTCTGTGTTAAAGTAACTAGTGCTGGCTGCACACCCAGTTACAGGGAGGCCCAGACTGGCACATGTAAGCCTGGATGTGGTCTGTTGCAGATAAAAACATTACCAGGCTGGCAAGTGCTCAGAAACCATGTGGAAACTGGACAGATACAAGTCTTGAGGTAAGCCAGCAGCGTAGCCCACAAAGGCAAGCCGAAGCCAACCCTGACCAGGAAGGGCATCATAAACCCGCCACGTGGAAGGGTCACAGTGCCTACGTCTTTGTCTCCGAGTGTCTCCAGCAGCAGCAGCAGGATGGTCTTGAAGTGTTCCTCCCACACGCCCAGGCTGTCCTCCCTGGTGATCTTGAGCAGTTCCAGCAGGGCGCCTTTCCGTTCCTCCACACGTTCATTATGGTTGGACAGCTCTTTCAGCAGGTCAGCCACCAGGTCCGAGTGGTCAATGGGCACTGGGGAGACACAGGCACATGACACCTTAGGAGATGCTGGCCACAGTGCTCCTGCCTTGCTCTTTCCCACCACAACTGAGTGACAGATCCTGTGCTTTTCCCATTCTGCGCTGCTTGGCTGCCCAGGCTCCCCTTTGCACCCCCAGACCCTCTCACTGTGAGAGCAGAGGTCCAGACCCGCTGTCCAGGACTAGTATCTTGATTCTGATATTACTTACCATTTTTTTCCTTCAAATTTCACACAAAGAGGAAAAAAATACTACTGCCTTCCAAAGCCCTTTGTGACTGTCTTTAAACTTTGTTCCACTACCACAGTTTGAATTGGGCTTTCTACTGGAACAGCCTCTTGCCTGTAGGAGACCCACTCCAGTGCAAACACTTGTTGGGGACCCCTGTTGTGTAAAGTAGAAGTCCCTTCATGTCCGGATAGCCCATGGGCTCAGCTTCAAATGCAGGGACTCCTTTTTCAACAGAGTGCTTTTCTGGCATCTTCCTGACTCGTCTTTTGAAGTGCCCACCACAGATGCCCTACCATAAACATAGCCTCCGGCTTTGTTACTACCAGCCTTTCCTGTGTGATTTTCAGGGAGATTGGCAGCATGGCAGGAGCCCACTTCCATATGTAAATAAGGGCATCCCACAAAGTACTTATCAGCTAAGGCTTTTACCACTGCCCCCACAGTTTAAGTTTCCTGGTTTTCCCTCAATAATTGAAGCTGAGTCACCAAAACTTGGAGCCGAGCAGAGTCACTGAATAAAGGCTGTACCACTGAGACTGAGCTGAGTCCTGTGTCTTACTGCCCACGATCCAGCCTTCCTGGAGAGAGCTGTCTCTTCGTAAGCCGACTCACGGACACCTAGCTTTAGCCGCCCCGCTCCTTCCCGCGTGATCCAGCGGCCGGTGGATTTCGCATCTTGAGGAAGTGCAAGAGTGAAATTAGAGACCCACAGAGAAGCAGCGGAGAAGCAGGGACCCGCCAGAGAGCCAGCAATGCAGACATGCTGTGGGACCCGCCGCCGCCTCAGCACCCCAGGGGCGGACAGTGACGTGGTGCGTGAACAGACCCGCCCCTCCAGGGTGCACGCAGGGGACTGGTGCCATGGTAGTAGCTGGTGCCCCAAGATCCCTGCGCACCCCATATCTGGCGCCCAACATGAGAGCCTCTGAACCCCATGCCAGCGAACAAAATTAGGGTGGAACCCGGCCGGGCAAGCCCCGGCAGCAGAGACCCACAGAGAAGCGGCGGACAGCGATGCGGTGCGCGACCAGACCCGCCGCTCCAGGGTGCACGCAGGGGACCGGTGCCACGAGATCCCCGTGCGCCCCATAAACACTGGTTTAAGGCCCTCTCACTATCACCTCTGACTAACATCTGCTCCTTTCTTGGATGTGTAGAGCTTCACCCACACAGCATCAGATGCCAATGAAAGTGTCTAGACTGTTCAGAGCCTGGAAAGTTCGCTCACCTTCACTAGCAGTTACCAGCAGGGACTTGAACCACATTGTCAGGGACCTGAACCATACCAACCATTTCAAAGGCATATCCTTTCTTTGCCATGCTCACTTAAGAGCTCTCAACTCTGAGCTCTTTAAACAGGGAACATGGAAAATCAACTGTGGAGACAAATCATTACAAGTGCTCTCAGGGCCCATTTGCATATTTCTTTAGCTTCTGAGATTAGGGAGCAAGTACATAGGGAAGTTCAAAATGCCGAAGAATGCTTGGTTTCCCTGGCTGTCCCACTTTTCTGCTTAAGCCTTTCAGTACACAGGCGGTGGATAATAACTGATGCTCTGATCTCTGTTCAAGATCAACAGTGGATGAGTAAATGATGAACCAACTCTAGGCCCATTTGCATATTTCTTTAGCTTCTGAGATTAGGGAGCAAGTACATAGGGAAGTTCAAAATGCCGAAGAATGCTTGGTTTCCCTGGCTGTCCCACTTTTCTGCTTAAGCCTTTCAGTACACAGGCGGTGGATAATAACTGATGCTCTGATCTCTGTTCAAGATCAACAGTGGATGAGTAAATGATGAACCAACTCTACAAGCAAAGGAAAAAAAAAAAAAAAAAACCCCTTTCCCCCAAAAAGAAGGGAATAAAGA